CGCCACTCGGCTGGCCCTGCGTTTATTTCTCTTAGCATAATGTTCTTCAGGTCCGCATGTGTCAAAATGGTCTCCCTTTTTAAGGCTGAATAATGTCCCATTATTTGTGTATACCACAATTTGTCATCCATTTATCTGTGATGGACACTTGTGTTGCTTCTGCCTTTAGGCTATTGTGAATAACGCTGCACGAAACATGGGTGTACAGATCCTTACTTTCATGTTAATCAGTTCCTTGCTTTTCTTTATAGTTTCCCCATTTATGTATGTGCCCTAAACAATACAGTGTTTGCTGAGTAGCAAGCACAAACCTTGCTCTGCAAGGAAAGGGTACTACTGTTCCCATGTCAGATGAAGGCACCTGGGAGAAGATGACATGAACAAAATCGCTGGCTCCTAATTGGACACAGCTTCCCTGGGCACTTATTGGTCCCCGCTGGGGACATTGGCAGTCAAGGGCAGGAGAGGGTCCTGGGACACACAGGCCTCTGGCAGGGCTGAGAGGTCCGCCAGGTACAGTTAGCGGGCAGCCATACGTATGGCCAAGGGGAATGGTGAGCTGCTGTTATTCTGGTTTTTAAGCGCGTATGGTGTGAGCTGCTTCTAGTTCTCAGGAGCTAATCGCATGAGAACACTGCTGTGGGAATGAAAAGACTGTCCACAGCTGATCCACCCACAGCAAGGTGTGGGACAGGGAGCTGGAACTTCATCAGCACGTGGCCAGGGCTGTCCAAGTACAGATAAAAGTCTGGGCTCACCTCACTTAGGCACCTTGTACTCTGTTTAAAAGTATGTTATGTGGTTTACCACTTTGGAACACTGGCAGTGTGTACTAAAACTGCATACTCGGTGTCCTAGCAAGACCACTCCTAAGTATAACCCCTAAGTATAACAGGCACAGAAATGTGTGCCTGTGTTCGCTAAAATGTACAGGAATGTTCACAGCAGCACTACTTATAAGAACGAAGACACGGGCTATAACACAGGTGTCCATCAACAACTGAAGGGATAAATTACCTATATTTTTAAAATGGGGTACATCGAGTAATGAGAAGAAATATGCAACATATGATAAGGAAGAATCTCACAAACATAATGTGAAATGAAAAAGTCCGACATAAAAGATTGTACACTGCATGATTTCATTTATAAAAGAATTCAAAGACAGACGAAACTAACCTGTGATGTTAGAAGCTCTTGGTTTGGAAGGGGACCCCAGGAGGGCTTCTGGGGCACTGGTAATGATCTGTTTCTTGATCTGGTTACTGGTTACCCACATGTTCACTTTGTGAAAACTCACCGAGCTGTACACTTATGATCTGTGAATTTTCTGTATGGATGTTATATTTCAATAAAAATTTTACTGAAATACGTAAATCGTAAAGATGGTGCAGTGGCACTAGGCATCGTGAGGATGACAGCCTTCAGTATGCCTCTCTCTTAGTCCGGACTGGTGGCCCTCTACATCTGGTGCACAGCTGCCACCCAGAAATCTGTCCTCACCAGACTTCTCCTGATCCCCCTCACCCCGCTCCTGAATGGGGTCTCTTTCCAGTGCCCCATGCGTTTTTCTTTCTTGACCTAGTCTCTTGGTTGGTGGAGCACATCCTTTAGTTAATACCTTCTTGAGGAAGGTTGGGTGGGGAGTATATTTTTCAAGACTGTGTATGTCTGAAAATATTTTTATTCTTTGTACAGAATTTTCCTTCAGAATTTTGCAGATACCGCTCTGTTGTCTTTCTAGGTTCCAATATTACTATTGAAAAATTCAAAACCATTCTAATTCCTGATCCTCTGTATGTGACCTGTTTTTTTTCTCTCTAGAAGCATGTTGAGTCTTCTCTTTATCACCAGTGTTGATAGATTTCCCATTGATGTTCTTCATGAGGTGTATTTTGATTCACTGTTTTGAGCACTTTGTGAGCCCTTTCAACCTGATAGCTTTAGTTCTCAGAAGTTTTCTTGATTTCCTCTCTGTTTTTCTCTCTTTATAAATGTTGGACCTTTTGAATGGGTTCTCTAATTTTCTTTTCTTTCATTTTTTTGTATCTTTATTTTTACTCTGTTTTCTGGGAGATTTTCACATTCTGTTGAGTTTTCATTTCCTTTTTTTTTTTATAGCATTCTGCTGTCTCATGGAGACATCACTTTTTATATGTCTGAGGATATTAGTGACAATTTTGTGTTTATTCTTTGTCTTCTTATCCCTGCACAGGCTCATTGCATCCAAGCTTGCTTTTTTTTCCCCACCCAGTTTGTCTGGGCCCTATTTTTTATGTGAGAAGCTTTCTTTGGGTTTCGGGAAGACCTTCGTTATCTCCTAACGTTCAGAGTGGAGGACTGAAAAGCCAACTGGAAGTTCTGAGTATGAGGGTGGGGCCTCTAGATGTAGAGCTCCACTGAGGGAGAGCCAGGCGGGCCATCTGTTAGGAACTGCTGACTTCAGGGTCTGTAGTTCTTCCTCCTAAGGCTGGGCACTTTCCTCCAAGAAGAGTCTTCTAATCTGGGTAAAGTGTCAGCCCCGGCTGCCAGTGTTCAGGCAGGGGAAGAGGACTGGGGGTGGCTCTCTGCTCAGCATTCACTCTGCATTTAGACACCCGCCCCCGCCATTTTGGTGTAGACGTCCTGCTCACTTGTACCTGACGTTCTCCACCCAGAGGCCCTTGTGTTACCCTAACAAGAGAACACCCCCAGACCTGTGGTGGGAGGAGAGCAGCAGTGTGGGAGCAGCAGGAGTGGGATCCATCTGCTTCTTTAACAACTTTCATTCGCTCTTCTTCATTTTTCCCCAGTTCTTGACCTTTTGAGGGTTAAGTGACATAAATCACACAGCTCCTCATTGTCCATATGACATTCCTGGGTCTGCTAAGTCTGTTACCAGCTGCATTCCCGCTTCCACAATTGTGTTGTCATTATTTCCTGTGCTGTGCTGTCTGACCTTGAGAATTTGTGTCATTCTTAAAAACCCATTTCGTAGTTTTACGTTGGTTTGCAGGGAGCAAAATTAGATGCGTGTGTTGGATCTGTCGCTCCAGCCTGGATGACATCGGCAACACGAACAGCAAACGATATTGCCCCCTTTGTGTCAGCAGTCACTGTTCTAATGCTTTGGATAATTCCTTCTTTTAATTTAGAAGTTTAGAATACTGATATTTACCAAATCTCAGAAAAAATCAGTTGGAAACCAAGATTTCCGGGTGAACTGTTTGGCTTCAGCCTGTTCATTTTACCTGTAATAGATTCACGTAGAGGAAGAGAACGCCAGACCCAGAGAGGAGACATGTATTTGATCTCACTTTTCTTTAACTTCCCTTGTTTTTCCTTTTTGATGTTTTTCCCCGCAGAGGAGCGTGCTTCAGCTGCTACACTCGAAGAGTGAGGTGGTGCGACAGTACACGGCCAGGCTCATCAATGCTTTCGCGTCCCTGGCAGAAGGTAAGATGCCAGCTCTTCTTCAGAGAGAGGAGCGAGGTCTTATTTGAGGCCTTTCTTCCTTTAAAAATGAACGCTTTTCCCCAAGTTGCTTAGAAATGATGTGTTGTCTCAGTTTATTCCCATTGAATGCATCTAAAGTTTTTTGTGATGATTACTAGATGATGTCATATTGATGTAGTTTATGCCATAGGAAATTTTGATGGTTTTGGAGTTTCTTTTGTAAGCCTTCTGGTTTTATTTTGTACACTTCCTGATTTTGTAACTTAGTACTTTTTAGATCGCTTTCAAGTGTGTAACAGGTAGTGCATTTTCTATCATTTTCTACTTAAGGCAAAGTAAGGTTGGTGAAATAATTAAAGCCGATTCCAATAAGCACTGCACCGTTTTCTTCAAGAGCATTCGAAAACCCCAAAGTTAACATGCCACCATTACTGAATTCAAAATGATTTTACAAAGTGCCACTATTTCCCATAAGTTCTCATTTGTTTGAGCTCTTTTTAACAGGTATAAAGGCAGTTTTCAAATTATGACTGTATGAGACTCCCAAAAGCGTGTTCATTGGTTCGTGGGTTCATTTTTCCATCCACTGAGCGAACGTTTACCCTGAGCCAGCGCGTGCACCGGGGACCATTCATATAATACTGTTGAAATTTATGTCCGAAATTAGCGTCGTCTGTATCAAGACACAAGTCCACAACGGGCTAGTGAGCATTCAAGGTGTACTGCAGGGTTCCAGGCATGGCTCCGAGCTTCTCCTCCAGGCCACGGGCATGTCTGGGAGGAGCAAGGGGTGTGGCCAGAAAGCACTGTTTGGCAGCCTCTGTTGTAAAGACTAGTGAGCTCATGACACACAGCTTCCCTTCCCACCCTCAGGCTCCTCGTGGGTCTTGCTTTTGGGTTCAAGATTTCAGGTAAATCAAGGACAGTGCTCCCCACAAGGACACAGTGATGAATTATGTTTAGGTTACAAAAAGAGTGGTTGTCCGTTCATTCGATAGTTGATGGAATAAAACTAAGTTTGCAGAAGAAATGGATTTTAATATGTTTTTTAGAGCCTAAAATTACACAAGCTACACGTGTTATATGCAGAGTTTTCATAGAAAGTGGTTTTGGAGCATAACTTAACACAAGGTCAAGTCTTTCCCTGTTGCACTTGTCCATCTCTGGTTGTGTTCCCAGGTCGCCTCTACCTTGCCCAGAGCACAAAGGTCCTGTGGATGCTGGAGCAACGGCTGAAGGAGGAAGACAAGGACGTCATCACGCGGGAGAACGTACTCGGCGCCTTGCAGAAGTTCAGCCTCAGGTGCTGACCGTGCAGTAGGTCCTGGTGGCTCCTTGAAATTAAATTGGAGTTTTTATAAGCTGCTTTTTTGTGCTTAGTCCCAATGACAACCCAAGAGGCAGATGATATGTTTCAGCTAACATTTTCCAAGATAGAGCTAGAAAGCTTATTATTATCCACCAACCCGTCCTGCTCAAGCTCCTTTGGATGGAGGAAGACATCTCAAAAGCACTGTTGTAGTCCCCTAATGGATGTTGTCTCATGCTTGTCAGGTCCTGGATTGTGTCTCAGGCCATGGGCAAGGTTTAGAGACATACACGTGAATACAACCTGACAGCCTCAGCCTTTAGGTTGCCCACGGTCCGTCGTGTGCACAGACGTGAACAGTCACAGCAGGTGTGAGAGGTGGTTTTGTGGAAGTCGGGTGGCAGCCTCCAGGACCCCGCCCATACATCCCAGCAGCACACCCTGTCGTGACTTGGAACTGCCTGTTGCCCCGGAAGAAATTTAAAATCAGACGTTCCTTGAACCAGGTCTGATGTCCTCCCGGAGCTTTCTTTTTTTAATCAACAGCTTTATTGAGATGTACTTTACAGATCACAAAATTCACCCATTTTAAGTGTACAATTCAATGTTTTTTTTAGTTTATTTACAGAGTTGTGCAACCATCACTACAATCTAATTAGAACATTTCCATCACCACAAAAAGGAACTTTGTGCCTATTTACAGTCACTCCTCATTCCAACCCCTAGCCCCAGGGGACCACTACTCCATCCTCTGTAGACTTACCTGTACTGGACATTTGATATAAATGGAAGCATCTAATGTGTGTTCTTTGTGTCTGGCTTATTTCGCTTAGCATAATGTTTTTGAGGTCCATCCATGTTGTAGCATGTGTTAGACTTTGTTCCTTTGTATTGCTGAATAACATTTCCATGATGGGGCTAGGCCACTTTTTTTTTTTTTAATGATTTTATTGGGGAATTGGGGGATGGGAACAGCGCTGGGGAATTGGGGGAAGGGGAACAGACAAGTTGCTGTCCTTTTGTTCTTCAGTCTAGTTGTAGAGGACGCCGCCCCACTGGCCCAAGCTTATCTTTTTTTTTTAAACCCTTCATAAAATCCCTAAATGGTAAAGAATTTATTGTCTAATGATAAAATATTCCTCAAGAGTCGGTATTGTCTGTCTTTTCCGACATTCTTTCACAGTGCTGTGTACTCTTAAATGAAAAGTTTCTCCCCAGCTTTAACTTACCTGTAGGTTCTTTCATTCTAGGCGCCCGCTGCAGACAGCCATGATTCGAGATGGCCTCATCTTCTGGCTGATCGATATTCTGAAAGACCCCGATTGCCTGTCCGACTACACGCTGGAGTACTCGGTGGCTTTGCTTATGAACCTCTGCCTCCGGAGCGCAGGTCTCATAGCCCCCTCTCCCCATGTCGAATGCCCAAGTATAAAGCTGTCGAATCCCTGAAGCCAAAATACCATTCTGGCCTTAGGGAGAATGTTTTATATACCAGGGGTGCCAAAAAAAATGTCTATAAGTGGACACTCTGTCAGTGTTTCTCAAGCAGCAGTTTGCCATAATCAAAAGTGTCTAGGGCCGGCCGAGTGGCGCGATGGTTAAGAACTCGCTTGGGATGCCAGAGGGCCCCGGTTCGGATCCCACATATGAGGGCCAGTGACACTGCCCTCCACAGCTAAGATGCTGAACAACAGCTCAACCTGGAGCTGGGCTGCCATGAGTCGCTGGCGACGGCGTAGGCTGCAGCCCCTGTGGCAGTGGGTGGCCATGGGCTACCGTATGTAGCCAGCAGCCAGCAGCCAGCGTGAGCGGCCAGCAGCCGCAGTGAGCGGCCGTCCAGAAGCCGGCGACTGATCTGCCTCGCCCGGGAAGAGCGCAATGATGGTGCCAACTTGGGCCAGTGAAGCAACGTCCTCCACAACTAGATTGAAGAACAAGACGACAGCAACTTGTCTGTTCCCCTTCCCCAATTCCCCAGCACTGTTCCCATTCCCCCAATTCCCCCATTAAAAATCTTAAAAAAAAAAAAAAGTGTCTAGATGCTGATGGTAACCACTTTGAGCACCTTTTGTAATTACAGAAGTCAAACGTGACTTGTATCCATCTTTTGTTATTGGTATATATTTAGAATTACAATTTTAATACAGTTTTCTTAAAACGTGTATACATTTTTTTGGCACCCTTTGTATATATGTATGTAACACCTGTGTTAAGAGGAAATTAAAGTGTTTCTTTATCTTGATTGCATTAGTCAAAGATAGAAAGTTACTATTTATGATCCCTTTTATCTAAAGACAGAGAAGTGTATTCCCAAGGTTGCAGAAGATTAAGTTGGTGGCAGAACAGGGAGGTTAAACCATGCCGCCTGCCCCTTGTCACAGCTGTTTTCTCCACTCCATCCCCCGGAGATGGGGATTCTCATGTGGACATCACAAGTCACTTATGTACCTGATCCATACAGGTGGTGATTTTAGCTTTCTACAGGTTCCATCCCATTTAAATGCTATGTTCCCTGGGATGAGAGAAGCTTCTTTAGAAGAGGTGCCAACCTAGTCCAGCCTGTGGCTGGTGTCAGTCTGAGTAGCCCCAGTGTTGGGAGAAGGTTACCCAGACACATAGCTCAGGGGGATTTGCCAGACGCTTCTTCACCTTCAGATGCTTTGTAATCTGAAGCACCTGTGTGTTGTTGACTGAGTAAAGGACTATTTCAGTCTTCTTTTTTTAAAAAAAATAGCCTGTGCAAAAAGGTCCTCGCTTTAAAATATTTATTAGATTATAATCAGACTTTCTGATTATCACCAGTTTATTTGCAGTGAGTGTTATGATGATGTTTGGAGTTACTAAAATACCTGTATGATTTTGATGATGGTCTGTGCACATGTGAGGTAGAACATTGATCGCTCTGCAATTTGTTACGCTTTCACTGTGCCCAATAGCTCTGTGTTCTGCCTGCATAATAACCGCCATCATTTACTGAGCACTTGGAGTATGCCAGCCTATACTGAGTTATTTAATTTTACATCACCCTTTATGGTAGATATTAATAATCCCTAAGGAATCCCAGAGGAAAATGGAGCCCAGACTGGTTAAGTGACTCACCTAAGGTCACACAGCTCATAAGCAGAGGAGCCAAGATTTGTATTCAAGTCTGCCTGACTTCAAACCTGTACTTCTGCGTTTAGACATGTCATGTTTTGTTTTGTTTTGTTTTCTTAAGGGAAGAAAATGTGTGCCAAGGTGGCCAGCCTCGCACTGAAAGTTCTTTCGGATCTGCTGGGCCATGAAAACCACGAGGTACTCGGTCAGCGCAGCTAGCCCTGGCTTGGGGAGGGCTGGCCCAGGATAGTTACTCTCCCTCCTCCAAGTGTTTGTATGAGCTACTTCCACGCTTTTATAATTTCTGGATTCTAGAACCCAGAAGCAGGAAGTCCTTCGTCCACTCCTCACTTGCGAGCGAGCACCCTGCTTCGGTGGCCTCTGCCAGCCCCCTCATGTGCACTATTTTTTTCTCCTTATTTGTCCGTGCCTCATTCATCCCCCGACGCAGACACTCCCCTTGTGTTTCGTGTGTGTCTGTAGACATGTATGTAGTCTGAAAAGGTATTGAATATCGTGTGTGTATTTTTTATTTGTATAAATAGTGTTGCACGCTAGATCTCATTACTTTGCTTACTTTTTCACTGCGTTTTTAGGACCTTTCCATGTTGCTTTATGTGCTTCTAGTCCCTTAACTCTCACTACTGCAAAACCGTCCCTTGTTTGCGGCCCTCTCATTTTACTTATCCGCTCCTCCAGTGGCGTCCATTTTGGTTGCCTCCACCTCTCTGCTGCCACCATGGTCCTCAGTGGACGTCACCACACTTGCCCCACGAGGGCCTGTGCCAGAGCTTCCCTGGAGCATAAACACTTGTCACTGCTGGCTCACCCCCTCTATCAGTCTCAGGTCAGAGTCCTGGAAATTGTCCCCCAGAATGGCTGTTCCAGCTTCTGCTGTCGTGGGTGTCCTCCCCAACACTTGTGATTTTCCAAGTTTTTTAGCTTATGGGTCGCAAGTCCTTTTCAAATAAAGTAGAGATCTGGGTAAACCAATGAACAAAACTAGTATTATAGTATATTGCTCGCCTTCTTTCTACGAATGCCTTTGCAGAAACTGTGGCATCACTTTGCCCTGAAGCAAGCCTCAACAAAAATCCGACCTCTTTCTCCAGACCAGGTGCAAGGGTGTCTCCGCAGGACCTGGGCTGTCAGGACCGCTGGGTCCGAGCAAAGCGCTTGGTATCCATGCGCCTGTTCCCGTTTCAGACAGGCGGCTCCCATTCTGTTCATTTTTTTCACATCGTGTGTTTCCGGAGCCCTATCAGCTCAGAGACCTGGGCGCCTTTCTCAAGTGGAGGTCTGGTGGTGGTTACAGTGAGCGCGTGCCTTTTATAATTTAAAACCAGTGAGCTCTTAACTACTTCTAGACCCAAATGAACTCCGTTCTCCATTTTCTTCAACTCAGGTCGTTGACGCCAGTAGGAAATGCATTCTGTCTCTTAACAGTGAAGGTTGGTTTCAGGTGTTGGAACCAGAATGTCGGTTCTGAAAACTGAACAGACCACAGGATTCCGATCCTGTCATTAACTGTTGCCAATACATTTGCTTTGAAAACGAGCTGGAAGATCTACCTGTATATAGTTTAGAACCTGGAGATATGTTTGCTACAGGAATAAATGTTACACACATATATCCCGCACAAGATAGTGGTGTTCTTAGAAGACAAAATTCGGAAGCCACAAAGAAAAGATACACATATTTGACTGTATGAACACTAAATTTTTTTGTTGGAGAAAAAAATACCATAATCAAAGTCAAAAAACAAATGATACCCTGAGCAAAAATTCGCGTCACATGTGACAAAAGTTTAATATCCCTAATATTTAAAGAACTCCTATAATTGATATGTAAAAGTCCAATAAAAAAAAAACCCAACAGAATAAAAGGGTAAAAGATATAAACAGGTAATTTACACAGTGGTAAATCTTGATGGCCTATAAACAAGAAAAGATGTTTAATTTTGCTATTATTCAGGGAAATGAAAATATAAACAACTATAAGATGCCTCTTTTTCACCCATTATATTGGCAAAAATTAAAAGTGATAAAGTTTAGTGCTCACAAGTGGTGGTGGTGGGAAATGAACCCCCCACCCCCACCCCATCACTGTGGAGAGAATATGGCAACAGTCTGCTCAGAAAGGAGTTCCCATTCATCAGGTACCCACCTGTGCACCGTGTCCTGGGCTGACCCGATGCTGGGATTACCTGCATGAGTAAAACATAGGCCCTGTCCCTGAAGAGATCATAATGGCGGAGACATGTATACATTTAAAAATACATGGCATCCAGGACAGTAGTGGGGGGTTGTGCTGGAGTGGAGCGGAGCACTCTGTCCGGGGTTCAGGAAGGGCTCCCTCTGAGCTATGTCGGAGCTGAGTTTTGAAGCATGAATCATAGCTTTCAGATAGACGTGTGTGGGAGGCACATCCCCAGCAAAGTGAATGGCTAGAACCAGGGCCACGGCATGTCGCCGCGTGGTGTGGCCTGTCCCTTACACGTAGTGTGCAGCGTCTGCAGTATGAACGTCATGGTGGCAAGGAGGGAGGAGCAGAGGGGGTGACAGAAGCCAAGCCCTGGAGGGTCCTGTGTGCTGTACCGAGGAATCAAGGAGTGGAGTAACGACCGCCTGCTTCTGGGATCTTTCTCAGACCCTGTGGAAGGTGTCCGAGGTAGGGAGAGGGGGGGTTTGGCCCATGCTGTGGAATTTTGGCAACGATATGTTGGTTGGATGAAAGGGTGCACGCCAGAGGTAGGACTCATTTGGAGATGTGATGTAGCCTAGGTCATGGACGTGTCTGAACGAGGACAGTAGCCGTGCCTATGGAAAAGAAAGGTTCCTACCCGAGAGAGCTTGGAGACTCCCCAAAGGAGAGTAAAAAGGGAGCGTCCTCAGTGATGACTCCAGAGTTGCTAGCCTGAGGGGTCAGGATCACGTTAATTAAGCAGTGAAGCATAACAGGAGTAAGCTTTGTGAGGCAGTGATGAATTTGGTTCTGAACTCTGGTGTAGCCATTACTGGGACGTGCAAATGGAGACGTCTGTCCTTGGGAGAGCTGTGAAGATGGTAACTCTCACTGTCCTCTTTAGCCAGAGTGTTCTCAAGTGTGGTGTTTGATAACTGAGTTGTATAGTAGTTGAGGTACTTGCAAATGACTGTTTTTTCCCTCCCCCAAAGATACAACCGTATGTGAACGGAGCGCTCTACAGTATCCTTTCTATCCCGTCCATTCGTGAAGAAGCAAGAGCAATGGTAAGAAACGTGCTTGAGAAATGTGTCAGCTTCTGTCAGTGCCACAGGTCAGAGCTATGAGAGCAAGGGGTCCCTGGACGGGGCTCCATGGAGGGGCTTTCAGAGTTTATGAACGCCCCGAAATTGTATGCCAAGAACATGTTTGCAATTTTCTGATGAGAGTCTGTGGCTTTTATCAGATTCTCAAGGGATCCCCTAGCTCCTCAGTGATGAAGAACCACAGTGTTAGAAAGTTCCCAGCAGGTTTATTTTTGGGAAATGGTAGACATTCTTTTTAAAAAATTTTAAATTGCTCATTTAAATTTGGAGTTGGGGGAATGCTTATGGAATTGTTGTAGCTGAAGCTTAGCAAAAACATGATGAAATGAAGGAAATCATCACTCAGATTCACCCCCAGGATTCCTGGAGGAATTGTGGCAGCAGTGAGAACAGGTACAGTCAAAACACTCTTGACATTCTGGTGGCAACCAAATGGAACAGAAAAGCTGGTACAGATGATAAAACTGGCTATACTTAGTTTGTTTGCTAAATAGTGAATTCAATACTTAATGTGTTTACATTCGTGCATATATTAGAAGGATAAAACGAGTCTCAGGTGATTAGTATAGTCTTTTGAGATGACTACCTTTCTGAATCTAATCAGCAGAACCACTGGCGTTTTGTCTTTTTTCTTCACAACATGTGAAACCAGGCTAACTGTGCATATTAAATGCTATGACAAGAGGGTTAAATATATTTCCAGAGGCTAAATTCAATTTGAGACCAACAAAACATGTTCTTCCACTTGGTTTTGCTTACTAGAATTGCTAAATCTTCTAACTGATCATCCAAATTACATTACCCGTTTTGCCAGAAGTAAAACTTATTTAAGAACTATTCTGTGTGATCACAGTAAACAATGGGACTTAATTGCCTACTGCTTTTGAATAGTAATTTTAAAAAAAAACAAAACCCTGCTTTTTCAATACAGAACAAGGGAAAATAAACTTGGTTAAATTCTGCATTACAGTCATTCAGCTGGAAGAGAGGAATTGTCAACTAAGCAAAGCACAAGGAACAAAACATGTAGGCTGAAGAGAAAGAAAAAGAATGGAGGTGACATGGAATTAAAAAGCTTGAAAGGCAATAGAGGGAAAACCTCCAGGGCAAAGGGGTGGAGAAGGTGGAAGGAATAGCCGTAAAGGGACAGGGACCAAGCAGAGAGGGGAGACTCGCAGTTGTAAGACATGAGAGATGATGGCCCCCAGAGACCATCCAGGGAGAGAGAAGGTGCAAGGAAGGGCCAGAGCCTCAGAGACCCGTGTGACCCTATCCAGAGGTCTCACACAGATGCAACTGGAGTCCCAGGAGAGGAGGGAGATAATGGGGCAGAAAAAAGATGGAATAAATAAGGTACGTATCTAGGAAATCCCCAAATGTTTGAAAATTAAAGTGTTGACACTTGTGTGAGTTATCTGTTGCTGCATAACAAATTACCTGGAAAAACTCAGTGCAGTGGCTTAAAAATTTTATCATCTCTCAGTTTCTGTGGGACAGAAGTTTGAGAGCAGCTTAGTGGGATGGTCCTGGCTAAGAGGCTCTCATTAGGTTTTGTTTTTGTTTTTGTTTTTTACGATTTTTATTGGGGAATTGGGGGGATGGGAACAGTGCTGGGGAATTGGGGCAAGGGGAACAGACAAGTTGCTGTCCTTTTGTTCTTCAGTCTAGTTGTGGAGGACGTTGCTTCACTGGCCCAAGTTGGCACCATCATTGCGCTCTTCCCTGGTGAGGCAGATCAGTCGCCGGCTTCTGGACGGCCGCTCACTGCGGCTGCTGGCCGCTCACGCTGGCTGCTGGCTACACACGGTAGCCCATGGCAACCCACTGCCGCAGGGGCTGCAGCCTACGCCATCGCCTCACGGCAGCCCAGCTCCAGGTTGAGCTGTTGTTCAGCATCTTAGCTGTGGAGGGCAGTGTCACTGGCCCTCATATGTGGGATCCGAACCGGGGCCCTCTGGCGTCCCAAGCCAGCTCTTAACCATCGCGCCACCCGGCCGGCCCTCTCATTAGGTTTTAATCAGGACTTCAGCCAGGGCAGCCAAGGCTTGACCAGGGCTGGAGAATCCGCCTCCACGCTCGCCCACGTGGCCGGCTGTTGGCAGGGACCTCATGTCCTCGACACATGGGCTTCTTCTCCATAGCACTTCTCTTGACATAGCAGCTGGCTTCCCCCTGAGTGAGTGACCCCAGACAGACAGAAAGTGAGCAGGACGGAAGCCACAGTATCCTTTATAACCTGGTCTCAGAAGTGACGTACACAGACCAACCCTGGCACAGAGTGGGAGGGGACTGCTCAGGCGCCCGAAGTCCAGGAGGTGGGAGCGTTGGGGGGCCATCTTGGAGGCTGACTGCTGCACACTCGTAACTCACCTGTGGAGCAGAGAATTCACAAGGGAAATGTGGGGCTATTAATATTTTGACATAATTACAAATACTTCCTCAGTTTTTTCATTTGGTTTTTAATTATGGTGTTTTGGGTCATACAGCAGCTTTAATTGTCATTGAGTCTATTAATATTTTTCTGTTATAGTTTCTGACGTAAGTTTTTAGACAGCCTCTGAATTATTGAATTATTGACTTTAAGAAGAAAACTTGGACGACTTAGATAAAGGTATCAGCAGCATAAGCTCCCCTCTGGCATTTAACAGGCACTAACGCCATAAGCTCTGGAGGAACCCCTCTGTTAGCCTGAGCGGTGGGAGTTTTTGGACATGTCACTTAAGCAGTTGCCTGTTTATTTATATGAGAGGCCTCTAAGGGAGGTTATGGCCAGAGTTTCTCTAAAGCCCTGAGATTGCCCACATTTCACTCTTATCCTTGAGGAAGTTTTTAGATTGATAAAGGAATTCCATTCTTTTTGCTTATAACAATAACACAGAAAACCAGACAACGAGGAAGGCGTCATCCGTAACCTCACCTCCCTGACACCTGCTCGGGACAATGCTGGAGAAGTAGTGGCCCAGCCAGTGTTCTCAGACCCTGCTGGGGTTTGCAACGTGGCGGCACAATCCTTTCGGAAAGCAGTTTGGCAGCACATGAGAAACCACTAAAACCCCTGGATTCATTTATTTCCCTCTGGTCGCTGATTCAGAGAAGAGCTCTACCATGAAGATGCTCGTTTCAATGTTTTTATAATAGTGAAAAACCAGAAGAAGCATAATGTCTAGTAATAGAGGAATTGCTGATGAAATTATGGTTCTTTTGCTCAAAATATTAATAGCTATTGAGGATGATAATTAGCAAAAGCAGTATGAGGCAGGATGGAAAATTTTTATTGTATAATGAGAGATAAAAGCAGACTATGACGTTATAAGAACTCTGTTTTTGCAACTGTTTAAAACATTTGTATACTTGTGGAAAATGACAAAGAATGCGTGAAAATTATATTAGTACCAAATGCTATTATGGTGGTCTTAAAAATAATAGAAAATAAAAAGATAAATGAGTGCCCTGAGACCCATTTGAACTTTAAGACACTGCCAAGGTCTGGGGCTGGAGAGCAGAGCAGATCAATAGAGCTGCCCTAAGGCCCACTCCAAAGCCTCCTGCACCCGGGGCTGGGGTAACTGGACTGTGAAGCTCTCCCTTGTGATCTAAACCCAGCCAGGCATCGTGCTCCGGACAGAAGCAGACCAGATGCTCTGTCAGCTGTCCTCAGAGTCTCAGGGAGCTAGGCTAGAAGCCACAGGGTCAGGACACTCCACAGGTCTGCTCTGGTCGTAACCACCACTGCAGCTTGTACCGTGACCGCGGGGCCCACAGCTCACGCCCGTGATGCCAGAAGCCCTGCCTCTGCTGTCCCCAAAGGGCTGGATGCCACTGCAGCCCACCTGTCAAAAAGATGTGTGTTCCCCCGTGAGCCTGATTGTTCACATGACCCACTTCCAAGTCAGGCTCACATGGATGGGTGCATTTGATTGGCAGAATCTAGGTCATGTGCCTGGGGAACTTTTTAGTAAGAAATCTTCCCTCAAATAATCCTAATTACAGAGAAGAAATTTGTTATTTTTTTTTCCGCTGAATAACAACTGCGCTAGAGCTATATGAAAGAGAACAAATGAAAATAAAAAGGTCTTTCAATGCATGAGCAGATAATCGTTTGTAAAAGTAACCTCTGGGAAATAAACAGAGGAGAGCCTGAATGAATTATTTGTCTCACTCTCCTGGTGAAAAAGACATTGGCATTGACTGGTTGGTGGTGATCCTGACCTTGGGCATTTTCGGGTTTCTCACTGCTTTCACTTGTTACGTTCTTCTTCCTCTGGTCCTTACCTCGGGTGGGGATGTAGAAAGGGGAGATTATGACATATAGAGACATAAAATCAACTCTCCTAATAGTGCAGGGCCTGTCACTTTGCTAAGACAATCCCAGGTGTGTCTGGTCCCACAGGAGCCCTTGGCACTGCTGAACACGCCCTCTTTGAATTGCTCATCCGTTGGCTTAAGAACTTCCCAGAGTTACTGCCCTTTCCTGCTCTCCTCTGTGCTTCCCGACCTCTGCCTCCTAGTTAAGTGTGACTGTTCTCTGCAAGCCTGTCCTAACCCTCCTCTTGCTGTGCTGTCACTGTCTCTGGGCAACCTTGTTTGTTCCCTTGGCTCAGCTACCAGTCCTCTCTTCTGAGCCACAAACCCCTACGGACATAGTAAGCACAGGTTCACCATTTACTGAGCATCTGCTGTGTGCCAGCCATTGGACTAGATGCTGTTCTTTTAGGTATAATTTACAAACAGTGAAATGCACAGGCCCTACAGTTTAATGCATTTGACAAATGCATTTATCTACAAAACCAACACCCAATTATATACTTTATCTTTTAAAAACTTCTCATGTTAACCCAAGTTGTCATCCTCACTTTGTAGCTGAGGCAATCAGCTGGGAGAAGATAAGGAACTTGACCAGGGTCGCAAAGTTAAGTCATGGGGGAGCTAGGGTTACAGTCCAGATTTGACCTTTCTAGAAAGTAATGTTCTGCTTTAGATGATGGAAACTCACCATGCTCAACACTGCACTTGGCGCTTCTTTAATTCAGTTTTAGAGCAAGTGATTCCAACCTGACCTTCATGAAAAGGGAACTTATTGGCTCTTGTAACTGGCAAGTCCAGGCATAAACTTCAGGCACAGCTTGACTAGGGTCCACATGTCACGAGATCCATCTCTTTGCTGGCACCAGCGGACTCTGTTTCCTCTTTGGGGTTCATTATTAGGTACGCTTTTCCCTGGTGGCAGCAAGGCGGCCTCATCAGCTCCAGCCGAACTCACTCAAATCCTGCAAGGAAACAGGAAGAAGGGGAAATGGACACTGACCTTTACGTTTCCCTGGAATTCCGTTAGTCGTTAAAAATCATGTTAGTGTTTTGTAATAAAGTAAATAATGCACAGTGTAGTGACTTTATAATTCTTTTGATAGAAACAGAATGATGACTATTTAAAAAGAGGTTCCTTTTGCTCATTTACTTCTCCGAACATACAGTTACACTTTTTCAAAGACCATATTTGGCCCTAAAATCCAGAAGGCAGTATATAAATTTAGGAAAAACATAGGAAAGAAATCACCCGCAAAAACAACATTGCTAAAACAAAAGGGAATACTTCTGCAATAAATTTTTTTTTTTACTAAATATTTATAATTAGGTCAGATAATCAACCAAGAAGAAAATAATTTCACTGTGAATTATAAAAAGAGCAAAAAGAATGTTTCACACTGAACAGAGGAATTGTTATTGTGCATATATAAGAAAGTGTTTTGGGGGGGGCTTGGCTGAAACTACCCCATTGAAAAGTAGTTCCCCCCAAAGAATTGATTGTTAACTGTCCCTGTCTCCACTGCTTTAGGGGATGGAAGACATCCTTCGCTGCTTCATCAGAGAAGGCAATGCTGAAATGATCCGCCAGATCGAATTCATCATCAAGCAGCTGAATTCAGGTCCGTTTCATGCAAGACTCTGTGGTCTGTCTTTTGAATCTTTTGAATACCAGGAATGTACATGGGCTTTCTCAGAGGGGCGTGTCATACCTTGGAATTCATTCAAGAGGCCCAAGTGCACCTGTAAACCAGCGTTCAACCAGGTGTTCAAGGCCAGATTGTCCCAAGATCAACAATCGCTCATCACACTTCAGGCTTAGAGTCAACAAAAAGAATTCAGAAACAATGACAGAAACCCTTCTCTAACCCTGAGTTCTCTTTCTGTGGGCCTCCCCCCTCCTGATTCTTCCTCCACCTCCGAAGAGTGGCTTCCCCGGAGGCCTAGGGTCAGATAAGGAAGACGGAGGCCAGTTTTTCTAGCACCACTGGAGAAAATGTCGTCTCCGCCCACATTTCATTCATTCACTTCAGAAAAGTTTATGTTGCCAACTGACAGCATGAAAGGATGTGTTCCCCTTTTTGCCTGGCTTCCTCCATTATCATGGCAACCCACATCCCATAATTAGCAGGAAAGGATGGTGAGGGAAACCTTGGATGGACCCAGGGTGGTGGGGAAGCTCTTAGCTCCTGACACTTTGCTCCTGACTCGCACACATGCCAGAGGCTCCTGGGGCCAAGCTTGTCACTTATGTCTCTATGTGCCCCTCCCTGACACCCAGCAGTCCACATCACTGAAAGTCCAAGTGCACAAATCCTGTTCAGCACACAAAGGCAAAAAAATGAATCTCTTGATCCCTACTGTAATCCCAAGTCAGCAGCTTGACCAGGCCAAGCAGAAGGGAGATGCCAGAGGCCTCTCACTGGAAGAAGCCTGCAGGCAGCTCTTCTTTTTTTTTTCGGGGGTGGGGGTGGGTGCTGAGCCATCCTGCCACCTATTTGCAGCTCAGCGGCAGCTCAGCTCGGGCCGGCACTCGAACCAGTGTTGCTCAGAGCTCAAACTCTTGAGCGAGCTCTTAACCAACTGAGCCACTCGGCCGGCCCCCCGGCGGCTCTTCTAGCTCACGGTTCACAGCCTGGGCTGCACAGGGCGGCCCCCTGGGAGATTTGGAAATTTGCAAGGCAGTGCCGTACCCCAGTTAAATCAATCTCTGGGGGAACCCCAGGTACACATAAAGCTTCACGGTGATTCCAGCATGCAGCCAGGGTGCACGTGCCCGCCTTGGACAGACACAGGAAGGGCAGGCAGATGGAGGACGTCACGGGCTCCCAATTCACAGGATGCAGCTGGGAGAACAGCCAGGGAGCGTGAGACCTTGGCTCCCTTCAGGCTGGGGGCCCATTTCCATGTGAACATTCTTCCTTCTGTTTTTTGTGGAGCAAGTATAATTCATCCCAAGTTCAGATGGGCAAGGAACAGAACTTGATTTTCTGCAACAACTTTATTTCTGACTTTGAACCCCCATTCTGCTGGGCGGGCATGTTAAAACCGTGAAATAAAACCCTACCCTGAGTCCCGGCTGAGACTACCCCCTAACCTCTGGGTAGGCCACAGTTTGGGAAGGTGGGGAAATGCTGGGAAAAGTTCTTCCCTGCCTGCTCCACGGTCACCAGCTCTGCTGAGACCTCCCTCCCAAGCCGGGGGTCCTCTGCAGCTGCAGGGTCACGTTTGGGCTGGGGCTCTGCTTCGAGGCTCACTGTGTTTCAGTTTATCGAGACGCACCACCTCCCTTTCCTTGTCTGTCTTCTCACCTCCCTGGCAGCCAAGAAGCAGGGTGAGGCCCCCTTGCTCTCTGGCTAAGAAAACATCTCTTTTTCTTACATAAAACTGGCCCTTGGACCAGCATGCCAAAGAATGTGAGGAGGGAGGGGTCAGTTTACATTTCTGTAAGGGATGTGCTTTGGCACAAAGTTAACATGGGCAGAGCTGAAGCTTTATAACCTTGTATATTCAGGAAAGGCTTGGGAAATACCTGCTTAGCTCGGTAAGTTCCAGTTTAAATAAAGAGTATCTAAAGTATTTCTTTTTTATCTCAAGCACCTGAGTTATTCCGTACCCATAGGACAAGGGCAGGACCCAGAGATGGTTGCCCAGGAGTCTGCAACTTTGAAATAAAACTAGGAAGTCATTGAACATTTGGATGGAGGACACACAAGTGCCTTAGCGTATGTGTGATCAGCACCAAGTCAAAATGAATCCACCAGCATCGCAGTGGAACTGGAGGAGGGAGAGCTGGGGAGTTTCTTTCCAGTCCAGCCTTCATCCTCATGTGGAACTTAATAGCAGGAAGGAATTAGCGGTAGTTTACGCGTGTAACACACGTGAAGTGGCCTTGCCGCCATCTGTAGTTAGAGTACTGACTTTCTCGTTTCATTTTAGTGAACAAAAAACATGTATATGGCTTTTCACACGAATGCATTCAAGCCCATTTCAATTCTCTAGCACCTTTTCCAACAGAGTTTTAAGGGCTTCAGGTATATAAATTCCAGTATATTTTAAGTGCCTCCCCCATAGGCAGGCGAGGACTACTCTGGTGAAGCCTAAGGAAACATTCCAGCCTGGTGACATGACAGGCGGAGGTGGGCAGCCAGCAGCCACAATGGGAAATGTGTCAGTAACTCCAGCCCTGAGCTAGGGGGCCAGCAGACACTGGCCAGTCACTAAGAGAGGACAGGGAGACCTGACAGGTCCCTGGCCAGGAGCCAGGCAGAGCCAGCCTCACCAGCTGGGCCCTCAGGAAAGGTGGGACACTGGCACTCCAGCACGATGCTCTGTTAGTTATCTGTGTGAAGGCACCTTGTGGGGTACAACTCTGGGAACAGTATGGGCGGCAGACCTCATGTCCCTGTCACTCAGAGAGAAGGAGTCAAGGTTTATAAGGTACTTGAGTTCCCAGGACTGGATTGTTCTGGGGATAGGATGAGTGTGAGCTTAAGGGAGGGGAATGTGGCTGGACTAGCCTGTGGCCCCGTGAAATGTTTAAGATTCTTTAAAAAAAAAAAAAAAGGCATTTCCATATTTGACAAAGAAAGGTTTATCACTGATGAATATAGCAGCATCTCCATTTTGAAAGCCCTTTACTGAAGGTGGGATGGAGTCATGCTGTCATGGGCCAGTAGGAAATAGAAGCTAGGTAATTAACCTTCAGTTCAAATGCAGAGTGACATAACAGCCTCCTGTCTGCAAAGCGGCTTTCGTGATTAAATAGATTGCATGACAACGGTGTGACTCATGCATGATAAGCATGGAGACATACAAAGGTGTCCTTCTGGCCTCGGTCCAGCCAAGGCAGTGCAGTCCTCCCCTTTAGAAGGAGGGCTGTGCTGCGGATGAGGGGTCCTGAGCTTCTACCTAGTTTCTTCTAGGAAATGGTTTGAGGGTTTGATTGTTTCGGTAAATCTGCAGCCAGTCTCTTCGACAATGGTATTTGGTTTCCTCTTTCCTTCTACTTCTTGTTTGACTTGCTTTCGTCTTCTCTTAGGCTTCCTTTACTTTCATGTCATCTGTTCAAGAAACGAGTGATAATAAGGAAGGTGCAGAAGGGATATGGGGATGAGTAAGTGAGGTGCTCTGTCCCCAGGGACTCAGAATCCAGTACAGTGGGTGAGAAAGACACCTACACAAATCAGTAGCCATTCATTCAACAGTGTTGAGTATTATCAGTTATAGATAAAATGCCGAGTGTGTTCAGGACTGGTGACTGCTCAGTGAGAACTCGGGGACAGCTTCAGGGAGGAGAAAGTGACCAACTTCTATGCAATGCCTGTTTGCCCCTGGTCCTGGGCCACGTGGTTTAGTTCTGGCGTGTTGTAAAATCCCCCAACAACCGTAGGAAGCAGGCGGTCTGATGCCCATTTTACAGATGCAGTAACAGGCTCATTCTTTCTCTGACTCCATTGTGCTACAAATTTACTCCAACTGTGTGAACTCGCTGAAGATATAGAAATGAACCACAGGAGCCTTCAGAAACCTTCCTTGCCACTGCCCTCCTCCTGGCTCTGTGGGAAAAGCATGGGGTTTAAAAATAGACTCGGTTTGAATCTCAGTGCTGTCACTTACTGGGAGTGTGACCGTAAACTAGTCCCTTATCCTCTGTGCCTCCATTTGTTATTTGTAATAAAATGGGAATAAGAGTCAGCAAAATCTTTGTAAGGATTACGTGAAATAACACGTGGGTTTCAGTATCTAGCACCATGACTCACGCTAATACTAGCTTACTTTCCCCTAAATTCCTCCAAAATTACATGAGGGCTTTACATGAATGTCTTCTGATAAAAATGGAGAGATGTATTTACAGGTGCTTAGGATGATATCAGATTATGGCTGAAACGGTACCAAGAACATGATTGTTTTGATGTAACCTAATTCTCATTAGGGTATTTACATGCCTCTGCCACAGCTGAGGGATTTTGTTGACCAAGGCTCCCAGCTGTGTTCTCAGTTCTTCATTGATTTTTTTTTTTCTTAATAGAAGAGCTACTGGATGGTGTTCTTGAATCCGATGATGATGAAGATGAAGATGATGAAGTAAGTTGGAGGCTCTCCACACCACATAGAAAACTGGTGCCAAACTATTCTGAGTCTCTTCCTTGCCTTGAAAAGTTAGTCCAGAAGTGGAGATTTTGATCCCTGCTATGTTATTTTTCACAGTGCAGTAGGTTGGCTGCAGCTCAGCTGGGTGGTTTTCTGCTGGGCTCCCTCGGGGTGTCACATGGCTATTTTCCGTGTCCAACCTGGCCCCGCCCCTCCACGGCCTCTCGTGTGAGCGCTAACTATTTCGTGGGCTAGCCTGGACTTCTTATCCGCTGGCGGCTGGGCTCCAAGAGCGAGCAAGTGAAAGCTCCCAGCCCTCTTCCGGGCTCGGCAGTCTCAGAACATCACTTTTGCTGCTTTCTGCTCAGGGCGCATCACAAGACCAGGCCAGGTTGTGGGACGGCAATTAGACGCCACCGACAGGAGGGCTCAGGGTGGAAGCCCTTGTGGGTGGCCGTGTCTGAAGGCTGTCTGCTGCACCTCGGGTGGGTGGGCTGCAGCCAACACTCAGTGGCACTTGGGGTTTGTAGGAGCTTGAGGGGGAAAAGAAGCCCAGTTCTTCAATTCAACGTGAGTGTTTTGCTGTGAAGGGGCGTGAGCCTGCACCTGTCTTCCTCATGGATGGGGACGTTGGGCACCGAAGCTCACAGTGAGAAACTCTAAAGGAAAAGCATGGCACTTGGCTCCCAGCTGGCAGAACTAACCACTTCACTCTGCGTTCTTTGGATAGGGGTTCCCTCAGCTGTGAAAAATCTGCTTACCTGGGTTTTCAGAGCGCGAAGGCTCAGCAGGTTTAGGAGTCATGTGGGTGAGTCTCGGGAAGTGGTATAAAGAATGGTGGTGGCTCATGAGCTGTACATGGATTTTCAGAAGACAAGCCTTTTCATTGTTTGTCCCTCAAACCTAGAAAAAACATACCCGTTGTCCTCTCTGGTTCTCTGTGGTAATAAATGATTTGCATTCCTTCTATTTTGTGGGGAGTAGATGCTGGAAGATGTATTTTTATTTGGAGTTGTGGTCTATCCATTTGAAAGGTGTGTAAAAGCCAGGTTTCTGTTCATGGGGGAGACAGTGCGTTTAAAAGCCCTCCACCAGACAGGACAGCTGTGCTGAGTGAGACCTGCTAGTGACTGTCCCTCCTCTGGCAGCGCCTGCCATTTTCTTCGTGGGCTGTAGGTGGCACCAGCGAGTATTCTCGCTCACTGGCTTAGGGGACAAGTTCGGTGCTGGAACTCAGAGAGGGCCCTGGCCAGCGCCTTCTCCAGGCCTCTTCCTCTACAAACGTGGATCCGGAGAGGGGAGGAGGCCAGCCTAAGGCCACCAGGGAGCTAATGGCAGTAAAACCTGGTTTAGGACAGAGAGATCAGCCGACTTTTTCTGTAAAGAGAAAGACAGTAAATATTTTATGCAGGCCACACGGTCTCTTGTTTTTCAACCACTCAAATCTGCCATTTTAACACAAAGTAGCTATCGACAATACAAAATGTGTTCCCATTAAACTTTATTTATGGACACTAAAATTTGAATTTCATGATTTTTACGTGTCGCTGAATTTTTTTTTTTAATATTTAAAAATGTGAAAATCATTTTTAGCTTTCTGGCCTTCCAAAACCAGGCATCTTAGCCTGTGGGCCATCATTTGCCAGCCTCTGGAGAGAACCCAGCTCCCTTGACCCAGTCTTCTCAGGACTATGATAAGACACCACCTTTGTGCCTGGCCAATCAATACTGTTTTCAATTATATTTTGAGTTAATATCTTAATTATTTAATTTCAGTAACTTTTTGTCATTGTGTCCAAAAGTTTTTCTCAAGATCTATTTTTCCCCTTCTTGTGTGACCCTTTTGGGGTTTTTTGTTTTGTTTTGTTGCTATTAACCCCTTCATTTTTGTTCTACAAGGGGAAATTCATTTGGTACAGCTGTTCCGGTTAATGATGGAAATGCAACTTTTGGCAATTTTGCTATGGAAACAATTATAGTCTAGTATAAATGAAGGAATATAAAGATCTTTTAATTTTCTGGACTTTTTACTACTCTGTGCAGATTTTTATTTTAAGAGGGTCATGTTTGAAAATATTTGTTGTGACAACTAGACTTTTCAGAAGATGCCCAGAAGGAGCTTCATTGGGAAGTTATAAGGGAAGGACCTGTCAGTTGGGGCATAACTTGGCTTTTTGAGATGAACTCAGCTCAGCAGATTCTCGACTCCCTCCCTCTTTATCTTGAGAGTACATTGCAGAGTATCAGGAGGGTGGCCTGGAAGGGCTGAGCATGTCTGGATTTTACTCAGCTTTCACTGAGGGCAAGTATTACTTTTAACATTAGAAAGAAAAAGGACAGTGAAAGATGTTTAGACTAAAGAAAAATTTCCAGAAATCATTTGAGCAAGTGACACTGTTGGAATGTGGGTATCACCTCCCAAGGTGACAACTTTGAAGGAAACAGCAGAATTATTCTCAGATGACATATTCTCTATGTCATCTTGCTTAGCAATGTAAAGTGTTCTTTTAGTTTAATATTTAGACCCAGAGCACAGATAGTGGAGTCATTGTTTTCAGTTAGCTGCTTTGTGCCTCTAAAGATAAAACGGCTCTGTTGCATGGAGTGGGGCTGGAGGCCAGGGTACATTACCGTATTTCCCCATGTATAAGACGCACCCTTTTTTAAAAAATTGGGGGTCTGAAAACTGGGTGCGTCTTATACAGTGGTTGTAGATTTCAAATGCCATAAATGGAACTGAGGACGAGGCAATATATGAGGACAGTGATTCATCAACAAACACAGATGAGGACAAGCTAATGGTTGGGAGTTTTGACAGTGATGAGGAGTTGTATGAATTTTATGATGAATAAAGCTTGAGTTCAATAACTTTATGTAATACATTTTTTTTCAAATTTCGGGCCCCAAAATTAAGGTCTTACACATGGGGAAATACGGTATCCTTGCTTTACATAACATTGAGCTGAAAACTACGTGTGCTTGCGACTCTGGCCACTGGTCTTGCTCCACTGGAAACTCTCAGGAGGACCCCCAGTTGAAAAATCTAATTTTTTTCTCTAATTTCTAAAAATATAATGAGTTGTTCTGACTGTGAACACTAGTTATGTCTGAATATACATATTTTATAGGCCAAAGTTTAAAAAAAAAATTAAAGTTGGAGTTAGAACTGTCCTTCTGACTTCTAGACTGTCCAGGATATAATGTCAAATGGAAAAAGGAAATCGCAAAGTAATGTGAGCAGTATAATTCTATTTCAGAAAAAAATCAACATAGGAACACACGTCTTTATGAATGATACATGTGCTTATGTATACACATAGCAGGAAGGCATGGAAAGGCACACCCTCCCTGTTGACACTGGAAACTACCCAGGGACACTAGGGCGAGAGGTGAAGAGAGACCTTGATCAGCAAGGCCTGAGCTGCACATTTGTCACGTGAGGTGAGAAGTGAAAAGGGGATGTGGCTTTGGTGGACCGAGGTCAGTTGCTGAGCATTTTTGTAGACAAATGGGGCAACAGCCAAACGGAGTGGTTGAGGTGCGCGTGGGAGGTGAGAGAAGTTAGCTATGAGCAAGAGGAGAGAGTTGGATGGTAGCGAAACAGGGCATTTTTGTTTTAATTTGAGAGAGGCCTAAGCGTGTTACAATGCTCATGGAAGGGATTCAATTGAGAGGGAGAGGTTGGACATTCAAGGCCGAGGAGAGAGAGGATGGCATCAAGGCCGGTGTTTTCATTATTTTCTGCATTCCTTCGTATACTCTCTTGGCCCACAAGACCCCAGACCCATTTAAACCTCCGCAGAAATAAAATCATCAGATAAGTTTGGACAGGACACCAAGAGAATGGACAGATGACAACTATAATTTAAGGGTTCAAGTGCATCTCATCTAGTGCTTTGAAGAAATGTATTATTTGGTACAATTTATTTTTGTATTAAACATATGTAATATGTTCCCAACGGGCCAATGGTAAATCATGAGGCTCTGATGGTCTCGCCTCAAATGGCTCGTGTTTCTTATTAACATTTAAGGCGAGGTTCCTCGTATCTATTGGGTTGTCGGAAAAGTCATGACACATGTTTGCAACAGATGGCACTAGTTCATTTTTGGAAGTACTAGTCATTCGCATCTATGTTATTGCTATGTCATTTGACAGCTGACAGATCCAGCTTCATTCTAAAAAAAATTGAGAGATTTGGTTGAGTTTTGGAGATTTTACAACAAGTTGAAGATGGAAGACCAAACTGTGCGTTTTTACCGTATTTTACTGTTTTACTTCCATAAAGGGAAGAATGTGCATCAAGCTTGTGAAAAGTTGAAAAGTTTATGGTGACAATGCTCTACAAGAACGTCAGTGCCAATGATGGTTCATGAAATTCCGTGCTGGTGATTTTGATCTCAGTGACGCTCCTTGGTCAGGGAGGCCCACCGAGGTTGATGACAAAATAAAGGCATTGATCGAGTAAGATCCACATTACTTGACATGAAAGATTGCAGAAACATTGACCATCCATCATTCAAGCGTTCACGACCACCTGAAGAAGCTGGGATACGTAAGCAAGCTCGATATTTGGGTTCTGCATGAACTCAAAGAAGTTCATTTGACGGCGCATATAAACATCTGCAATATGCTCATTAAACGTGAGGAAAACAATCCTGTTTTGAAGTGACTGATAACTGGTGATGAGAAGTGGATTGTTTACAACAATGTGGTGCGCAAACAGTCTTGGTCCTGACATGTTGATTCGCCGCAAACGACATCGAAAGCAGACATTCATCAGAGGAAGGTTATGCTCTCGGTGTGGTGGGATTTTAAAGGTGTCGTGTTTTTCAAGCTCCTACTAAGGAACCAAACAATCAATTTGAATATGTACTGTTGGCAATTGGACAGTTTGAATGACTCCATCATCCAGAAACATCCAGAGCTTGTTTATTATAAAGAAGTTGTGTTCCATCGAGACAACACGAGACCACACACAAGTTTGATCACCTGT